AACGATCAAAACCCCAAAACCCCAAAACCCCAAAACCCCTTGAAATGAATATATGTGTGAGAGATTAACTGAGAAATTATTAATGCTTCAATTAAAGAACTTGTGACAGAGTTATTATTCTATTATCAATGAGTAGTTTCAAACTTAATAATTTTGATCGTTTTCCTTTTAATACTTCCTCTAGTTATCCTACAGTCTTTTCTATCTTCTCTTCTAATCCAGTTTTGATGGTATTCCAACATAGTAGCTTTAGGCATTAGCTTTTGGCAAAGTCTCAGTATTGCTTCGAATGACTTCTCTGTGTTTGAATTCATTTATCTAAGATGGATGCTTATACTCCTCGTATCTGTTCATCTAACTAAGCAAATGCTGCTCTATTTCTTGGCCCTCTTCGTCGTTCATAAAGTCATTATTTCTGTCGAGCTAAGCATTATCAAACAACATTTCATTATCATCAAGCTCGACTGGACTATTGCTTTCATCAATATCATTACCCGCTGATTTTCTCTTCCAAATCTTTAGACACTTATCTGTTGAGCCAGAAGCAAACATTCGGCCGAATTGCTTGTCTATCTTACTTATGGTAGTTATTGAACCTTGGATACTAGCCTGCATTTGAGCCATAGGTTTTAGACGTTGATTTTTCATTCGCCATACTTTTACTATACCATCTTTGGAGCCTGAGTAAAGTTCCCTCATGTCAAAATCAGTTTCAAGAGAATTTATCTACTCGCCATGAGCTAATTCTGCTTATAGATGATTGAATCTTTAATGATCCCAGACTCTAAGCATTTTGTCTCTTGATCCACTAACTAACAACCCATCTAAGATTGCTAATGAGGTCACAACATCAAAATGAGGTGGTTCAAATGCATCATGCTAAACTGATCTTTTGAAGTCGTAGGGTATCACTTAATGACTTCTACATCCATAAAACAGCATATCTTTTGTTGTTACCAATGAGAATATATCTTGATTTTTCTCTCTCTCATCAATTGGCCTAATAAATATTATTATGAGTTTAAACTTACTGTGATCCCTTTCTAAGATCCCAAACTAAGAGACCAGGGGCATTTTAAGATCCTCTGCCTGCTGAGAACATTAAGTTTCCATCTGGAGTTACTGTCATAGCCTTAATCTCATCTTTATGCGCTTTTAGTTAGCCAACCTGAGTCAGAGATATCATATCCCAAAGGAATATTGACTTTTCACTAGCTGTTAGAAGAATATTCTTATCTTGCCAAATAGTCATGCATTTTATTAGACCTGAATGAGCAGCTATATCGCTAACTACTTGCATCCTCTCGAGGTCCCAAATTTTGAGAGATTTATTGGATGTTGAGTACATTTGATTGCCTACAGAGGTCAAAGCGCAAATTGCTGAGTTATGAGCGTATTCTTTGCTAAATATGCATTTCCACTTGCCATCATCATCATAATTAGTGACAGGCAAAGGTTAGGGTTTTTCTATTACTTGAGGTGTAATATGAGTCAATGATATATTTTAAGAAGTGTTAAGACTGTTACTTGCTTAATTGTTATTATGAGACCTGCCTTTACCTAATTAAGAAAGTCTTGCAAAGACATTGGTTGATTCCTGCTGTTCTTATAATTGTTATTGCTACTGTTAGAACTATTGATTATTCTTGAGGGCTTAAAGCACTTGCTGTTATTCTTGCTAGTTTTTGACAAACTCTGGATCCTTATCAAATATCATATCGTCGTCATCATCCATTGGTTCATCTGCTATCACTCTTGGCTCAATTATTGGTTTTTACTAGGTAGGATTCTGGCTGCCTAATTTCTTAAGCTTGCGATCCTTTCTACGATCTTCAAGATTTTGCATTCTCTGCTGATTGCTAATCTATATCCTCGGAGATTTTTATTGGTTTGAGTTATAAGCTTAATCTTCATTTGGCACCTTAGATTACTTGACTTCTTAAACTTCCTAAGTTTTTAGTTTTTGCTTGGTGCTATCTAGTTGCTTCTTAAACAACTCTTTCTCTTGTATAATCTATTCTTTTTAATGTTTTAGAGATTCAATCTTTTTCTGATCCTCTTTAGTTTTCCTTTCTAGTTCAGCCACCCTTTTACTAAGAGCTGTTTTAGATTAGTTATACATCTACTCCTTATTTTTCTATATTTCTTGCTGCTTAGCATTTCCAGCTGCAACTGTATTTTTCTTAAGCATCGGAGGTTATGATAGCAGATTTTCATCTCCTTCAACCTTCTGACTGTTTTACTTTAGGTATTCTCTGAATATCTCTTTGCCTCCAGCCTTACCATCATACCCATTCATAAGCTACTCTAGTTCTTAGCCACCGTTTTCCATGATAATTCTAATCATAGTCTCCTCCTTCTCACGATACTCCTTGTTTATTTACTCAAGTTACTTTTAGAAGTTGATTTCATTAGCCTGCTGAATTTTTCTTAATTCCTCCATCTACTAAGAAAGACTTTCGATTGTGGCTTCATCTTAGGCAAGTTTATTTTCTAGTTACTTCTTGTAGACATTCACATCTAGTAGAATGCTAAAGAATGCAGCTAGACAAGCTCTGGCACCTTCAATCGACTATACCTAATCGAATCTCAGTTGTTCCACATCATCTGGAGAAAAGGTCATTAGCTGAGAATTTATTTGATTGACTTTAGCATCAATGAAGTCAAATTTCTCCTCAAGAGTCTCTATATTATCTACTATTGCCTTTGTCTCAAGTGAAATCTGAGATAGTTCTTCGTCAATATTGTATATTATCTCATCTGCCTCCCCAGATTGATTGCTCTGTTCTAGCTGGCATTTTTTAAACTCAAGCTTTTCCCTCTTAACGTTGAGTTGGGCATATTGATTCTGCTCTTCTGCAATTGAATCTTCTACCCCCTTCCTTTATAGCAGCTCTTGCTCAATCTAAGTCTGCAGTTCCTTATAGTTAAGCATCTTGTCAGTGTTAGTAATGATCCACTGCTGAATTGCAGCTATGTCGATATTCGCTTTCTTCATTCTGTCCTTTGATGCATTGGCTTGTTTCTGCTTTTCAATCTTATTTTTCTTCATTAGGATTGAAAGTTCTTCCTGCTTCCTCTTTGCTAGCACGTCTTTTCTTTGATTCTCTCGCTTAAGCAGCTGAATCTCTCTGTCTTTCTTAAGATTTGACTGTTTGATCTGCATCAGCTCCTTGACTCTATCTGCCTTCCATTTCCTATGCTATTCTCCCTCCTCCTTCATTTTCTTAATCATTGTGACTCTCTGCGTCTTCATCTTTTCAATTTCAGTTTCTAGAGCCTTGATTCTTAACTTTTGCTTGTTAGACTCTTTCATCATATTAGTTTGTTCTCTGTCCTTTTACTTGGCATCTCTCAATTTATCCTCTAAATCTTTTAACTTCTTCTTGTATTACTCTTCCAGTTTCGATTTCTATTGATCTGACCCAGCTTTCTTGAGACTCTCAACTCTCTCTAGCTCGACTTGCTGCATCTCTCCTTGGAGTTGCTAGATCTTTTTATGATACTCATTCTTCATAGCTTCCAATAGATTCTACGACATAGATTTGTGAGAATCCTTAATTGCCTAGAGAAGTGACTCTTTGTCCTTGAGATTGACTTCTAGACTCATAATCTGCTGCTCCTGACCCTTGAGCATATTCTTGATCTCGTCATCTTGCTTCTTCGTCTCCTCATTGCCGTCAATAACTTCCTAGACTTCTTTCTCCCCCTGTGGGATGATTTGCTCTATTTCAAGAGCTGCTTCATTTTCTTCATCTGATGAGTCATCTGAGTCGAAGTTATTATTTGCATCTTCCAAAGCATCACTTATAGCAATTTCATTGGCTGGTTTCATCTCTTAATCTTAGGTAAACTGGGCAGCTGGCTTTTTGAAGTCAAGCATGGTTGAGAGTGACTGAGAAAGATTTTCAATAAACAGCTCATTGAAATGATTCAGATTGTAATCCAACTCCTTAGAAAGCCACTCCTCTTGCTCTTTCGAGATTACGGTTGATTTTCTGTTTTAGGGAAGTTAACCAAAAGGCTTCTTGTCTACAGCTGTGTGTATCACTGACATTTTTCTATTCTAGTTCATGTGATTATTTACTGGAGCATTGTTCTGATTAGAACTTGGAGCATTTTTATTGTTATTAGTAGCTGGAGCTTTTCTCTGCTGATTCTTAATTTCAACATTTTCTTTTTGCAGTTTATTCACGCTTCTTTTTAGTCTTTCTATTTCTTTCTCCTTTGTCTCAAGATTTTGTGTATCTTATAGGGACTGATTAGTCAGATACTCATTATCCTTCTGCATTTGCTTAAGTTGCTGCATCATATCATTTATCTCCTTCTTTTACTCCTCTACCTTGACTTGATACTCCTCCAAAATGCAAGGACCTGAACTGCCAAAAAAGAAGTCAAACTCGGGATTCTGCTCTTTGCCATTTTCGTCTATGTCCATTTTACTAGTTCTATCAAATCCATGCAGCTCCTTCATTATATCTTCGAATATCTCTCTCTTTTTAAGAATGCCAATAATCTGCTCTAGTTAAAATCTAGAAAGATCTCTCTCCTTTTAGATAGAAAACATTTCAATGCGACTCTAAGCTAATGATTCTTAAGAGGTGTCAAACTGAGTTTGCAGCTGAGAGACTTTCTTATCTTTTTGTTGCATCATTCCCTTGAGATCTTTAATCTCGTTTTCATATTTTTGGATCTCTGCTCCACCAATCATAAACTCTTTACTATGTGGCAGATCAAATATCTTGCCTGGCTCAATCATGCTTAAATCTGAAGGCAGCGATGTGTTCTCTTCAAATGCAATGTTATTACTTACAAGCAATTTTCTTGCTCCAATCAGTTCTCTAGATAATTCATAAACTTATTATCTTAGCTAAGCAATCTAAGCTGAGTTTGGATCTCTGTTAACAATAGGCTTATTCTTGATGTTTCTAGCACGACTTGCATACTTTAAGGTATTTAGTGTCTCTTCAAAATTAACTTCGGCTGGAGAGACGCAAGCTATCATAGATGTACGAGAATTACCACCAAGAGAATCTTATAATATTCTTGTCAGCTTTGAGTCTCTATAAGGGACATGAGCATTCTTTTTAGCGTCTTCAGTCAAAGCAGAAATAACATTTCCAAGTGCTAACAGACCCTTATTAATAGAGATACCTTCTTTGAGAGTTGCACCAGTAGCACCTGTTCTTTTTGCCCTTTCACTTCCCGCCAAATCAACAAAATGGAATTTAGCTACCATGAACTCATCTGAACTAGCTGCTGGAGTTGCTGTCTATGCAGGAACAGTACTGTAACTTGGCTAGTATAAATCATCAATCACATGTTGTTCAATAGTGATAGTGAAAATTGCATGTGATCTTGATGAGCAATTATTCATGAGTGTACTAGCTGTGCTTCTAAAATTACTTCCCTTATCTAAGCATGCTGCTAACTCCTCATAACTGTTAACCTTTTCCTCCCTTAATCCAAACACACTTATATTCCCATTTTTCTCTTCTCTAATTGTAATTTCCTTCTTTTACATAAACCTATCGATTACTGCAGCATTCGCATTAGCAGAAGCACTTACTGCCCCATGATCCAACAAATCATTCAGCTCCTCATTATAAATTTCTAGGAACGAGCACTTAATGATAAACTCTGCTTTGTGTTTTCTTTTATCCACTTCATCGAAAATAAGTTTTATCACTCTTGGGATAATACCCAGCTCCTCATCCTTCAAACCAATGGTATATCCACTTCCCATAGTAAAGGTCTTACCACTACCTGTCTAACCATATGCAAGGACTGTCGCATTGTAGCCTGAAAAGCATCCCAAAACAAGATTTTTAACGCAAAGATCAAATACATCCTGCTATCTGGTGGGAATATCGAAAACTTTGTCGAAAGTAAATGTGCGATCTTTCCCAATTACCAGTTACTCTGACTCAGGATAGCAAGTTACACAGATATTTGGCGATTCATACAGCTCTCTCCCTACTAAAGGTCTCACCCTTAAAGCCACTCTCACTGAGCATGCCGTCTAGCATTTGAAATTAAAACTTGATGAGATTGATGATGATAATACTTACTGCAGTTTTTGTGTCTGCAAAAAATCCTCTGGGATTTGTCTTAGTCTCCTCATAATCTGAATTTCTATTTGCTCCGAGACCCTAGGCATTCCTTGAGTCATAATTATCTTCATCTTTCATCTCTTAGTCCAAGTTTATCCTGACCAAACTCGGATTATTTTATGCAGTCTGATAATTACTGCTGTTGTTGTTATTATAGTCAACTTCCATTTATCTTTGAATATACAAGATAACTTCAAAATATTATTTCAAATTATGAATTTAAATTTCACTTGCTTCAACTTACTTCCCCAATCATGGGGTTTTGGGGTTTTGGGGTTTTGGGGTTTTGGGG